CTATAGCATACCTTTCGGCCCAAACACCTACTACATACATACATAACTATCGCTACACGATATGTATGTATAAACATAATAGACGTGCTTTCGATATAACGAGTTTGGGCGGTTAAGCTTGTTACTAATCTGTTTGTTGGTACCTGAAATGAGGATTTGAGCAAAAGTAGCTAATCATATTTTTTTCTTAAGGCTATGTGCTTATATATTCAATGTGTACGTGAAAGATTTATTTAGTATTCAATAGATGGGCAACTAAAACTAATTACAGTGGCAATAAGATGCATAGCTACACTAAAAGAGTATGTATGTAAATACTAAAGACGGTAATAAAATAGGTAATACAGCCACAGCTTATGATTTAAACTCCCTTGGTTAGTTTTTGTATAACTATTTTCTATGGACAAGCAATCGTGTTAGCGGAAAGCGCAATGAGGGGACCAATAAAAATCGGTATTATTAAAAAAATGTTTAAATAAACAATTGGTTATTATTATTGGAAGTCTTCTGAAGAGAACTAGAGTTTTCCAATGGAAAAGTATTGATTTTCAAAAATCATATACCATTTCTACGAAAAGTTGTTTTTTCTCCATATAAAATACATTGAAAACTTTAAGCACTTTGAGCGACCTCAAAATATTTTTTTGATTTCAAAATAAAAATAGGGCTATATTTTAACGATATAGAACAATCCTAGGGGGGGTGAGAGCATTAAAATTCCGACTTCACTTTTTTGGACAAACCTATGTACATATCTTCCCAAAAAAAAAACATTAATTGTTAAGATACAAATTTCAATTAAAACAACGTGGCGACGCTCATCGGAAATAGTTTGGATTAAAGTTCTCCAAAATACCTTTCATTTCACATCCATATTGCGTTGCTTCAGTGAAATTTTGTTGAATGAAAAACACTAATATCCGAAGGGAACACATTTATTATATAGGCAAAGCTTTGTGTAAAGGCCTTCTTTTAGTATTCATGAATGGTAACGTTGTATATTTATTTACTAAACAAAAAATTAATAAATGTATGATAAAATAAGGTGGCAACCCTAAAAACGATATTTCCGAATTGTGAGTATTTTCCATTTGGTACCCATATAATGATGCTTTATTGAATTCGTAACTAATTTCAAATAGGTTTCAATCTCAAACGAGTATTCTCAGAGATAATACCCAACATGATAACCAAAAGGAATCTATGGGGATATATATAGATATCTATATGTTTATTTACATACAAGAATCGCTTGTTTAGTTGATAAGTACAGTCCAAACTATGTAAAAAAATCATGGAAAATTTGTATATACCTGTGTTGCCAGTGGTAACGTGGCGGGCATTTAACGGATTTATATATGAAAATGTCGTAGACTGAAAAAGATGATGAAATAAACAAAAATATTTTCTACAAATTTTGTTGTTTTATTTTTTAAAGATAATCTGCGGTTTTACTGAATCACCTTATACATTCATACCAGAGACAAAGTTTGCATATTCGGTTTGAGTCATACAAAAAGTCGATAGCTCCTCTTCTTCTTTTCGCAACTACATATCACGCATCCATTATAATAATTTTACTAAAATCATATAATTTATTATGGGGAAACGCCCTAAAACAATTACTAATAAATATGGGAGTGTCAAACAACTGAACTAGTTACATACATACAAATGTACATATACATACATGCAAGCACATACATATGTTAGTACTTCTATTAATCAGTGTAATCATTTTAATTAAATTAATCTATGTTTGACCTTGAAATCCATATTTCACAACACAACGCTGTGCGCTTATGCAAAACAGAAACAACAACAAAGAAACTTGTGATTCAAATCAGATTTTATTGCCCGATCGTGATTTTGCTATAATTACAGAAAATTAGCGTATTAGCCTCTATTCAATTTGTCACAAGTTGCACTCGCTGATGGCCCCCTTCGACGTAGTGTTCCCTTTGCTACGCATATTAACAGCTGACTAATATTTTACATACATATGAAGTACTCGTACAAATAATATGTTATTTCCGTTCGGTGAATGATTAAGCAACATTATAAAATGTTTAGTATTTAATAGTGTAACATCTTAAGCTGAAATAGAGAACATGAAAAATATTTTTTGTTTTTTTTTTGTTTTGTTGTTTTGTTGATAGTTAAATTACTAAAAATTTTAAACTACTTTGTAAACAAAAGTTTGAAGCAACGCACCCACACACACACACACACACACACAATTGCATGCAAACAATAAGTATGACTCCACCTCACTTTGACGCCAAAATCACCAAGCGTTCAATTAGCTCAGAGGCAACAACCACTACAATACGTAAAAACTTACATTCACACAAGGGAGTAACAATTTTTAAATTTTTTTGTTTTTGTTGTTCATTATGATGTCACAAAAGAAACTATTTTTAATCTTATCATAAGATCTATATACTCGTATTAGTAGGAGATCCGACAAAGGCACGACTTTCACCCATCTGTTTAATGGAAGAAATCTTTTTTGTATGAAATTTAAAGTGTTAGGAAATATTTCGTGAGTGTGTTGGCTGAAAAATCCTGGCCAACATATTTTTTATTAAATATTCAAAAAATAATAATTATTTTAATTTTGCATTCATTTGTTTAATGAACAAATTACATATATGCCAATCGAAAGCATAAAGCCTATAGAATGTGTTAATGTATGAAAATTACTCATATTACCTACCTGCTCATACCTGCCAACACGATAGGTAAGCCAGAAAAAAAAAATAGACAACCCAACGTTTTCACATTCTAAAGGCTTAATACTTTTGATTGGTATATAATTTGCCCATTAAACCAATTAGTACAGAATTAAAAAAAAAAAATAATACTTTTTGAGTATTACATTAAAAATGTCCTAGCCGGGATTTTTTCAGCCAACCCACTCGCAAAATATTTATTTACACGTTAAAATTTATAGAAAAAAGATTTCATCCATTAAACAGTCGTGCCTTTGTCGGATCTTAGACTACATATAAAAAAAAAATTAAGTTCGTTTGTTCGGCAGGCAAAAGCTCGAAACGGCTTATCGATTTGAATAATTCTTTTTTTAATTTGTTCCGGTGGAATTAAAACATAAAAAATAGAGAGTTGCCAACTGTTTGATTGATAAATAAACAAATGAAATATTATAACTTGGATATCAAACTAATGAGGCTTAACCCTCCGTGTAAGAGGTGGCGTATACCACACACCAGCGGTTTAAAAATCGTAATAATTCTTAAGTAATAAAAACGGGCGAGTCCATTTTCCCAACAGCTATATTATAAATTCAATGCCACAATTCCGATTAGCGCAATTAGTTTAGTCCGGCTTTCGCTACGAATCGCATAACAAGTGCGCAAAGTTTCCTTGCATATGTGCTATTTGAGTTTTGTACTAAAGAAGTAACATTAGTTCATAAGCTGAAGAAAAATTTGTGTTTTTTTTTTTTGTTTTTTACTAAAAGCCTATTAAAATGTATAAATACTTATACTCATTCATTACTAGATGTTAAAGAAATGCGTTATTATTAACCAGGGACCAAACTAACAATTATTGATGAAAACTGTCATGGAAAAATTCACTATGAAGGAAATGTTCTACAGCTAAGTGATACATACCAATCGATTTCTTTTTTCACCGAGACTCAAATTTGAAAATAAATTTTTATTTTCAATTTTTATGCAAAATTAAAAAAATAACAATTATTTATGATTTTTATATAATAAATCCAAAATAACAATTATTTTTGATTCTTATATTATATGTCTTAGGTAACAGTTATTGAAGAATTTTATTTACTTAAGTCATCAATAAAAATCAGTCAGTGACTTTTAAAAGTCATCAATATAAAACAGTCACCGACTTTTATTTTTTAAATCATTCGTATAAAAGTCATTAACATTTTTCGCTGTTAAGAAAGGTTCCTACGACTTATACAAATGACTTTTATAAGTATGATTTTAAAAATAAAGGTCAGTGACTGATTTTTATTTACGACTTTTATAAATATAAGTCTTCGTTAACTGTTATCTAAGACATATAGTTTAAAAATCAAAAACAACTGTTATTGCAGATTATTTTTTTTATATTTTTGAAGAGGGTTGCCACATGTTTCAAATTCATTTAAATTGGCAATTAAAATATCATATTGTCGGTGTATTTGCAAAACCGCCCATCACCCAAATGCAAAACCGCCTATCTTACGGCACTCAAATTTTACAGGAGAGTGAAGAAACGGTTTATTCTTTGAAGGCATTGCCTTGATAGGCGGTATTTTCTCTAGCTATTATTTTACAAATCTGTTTTTTTTTAATAACGATTTAACGATTTTTATGCATAAATCTCAATGCCTGGAGGTCAGGATTACCAAATCTCAATTTTGCCATAACGGCGATTTAGGCGGTTTTGCAACTGGTTGATAGTTTTTTTTTGTTTTGTATCACAATGGAAAGTTTCATGTAAACTAAATATACGATATTTGAAATTTCAAAAGCCAGTGGAATTTTTAATTTTTGACCAGCTTTTTTAACTCTTCACGCTACNTTGCGCAAAATAAAATACAAAAATTACCTTGAGTATTTATAGTAATACAAACTTTCCTTAGAAATGTTTTGGCAGTAATCAATAAGTAGCGCCTTCTTCGGAGAAGTATTGAATATTTAGCCAACGTACCTGTCATTTTGGTATTTCAAATTTAAGAGATGCATTCTGTACAGCAGAAGTGTTGTGGGCTGCATACTTTGAACGGCCATCAAATTATAACTTAAGAAAGTTTTATTACATGGCAGTTGAGAAGTGCATATGCAAAAATTTCATAAATTTAATTAAGGAAATATTGCACATGCAGCAGCACATAGTATGCATTTAGGCGATTGGTGTAGTAGTCGCACATAAATACATAGAAATTAGTAACAAAGCGGTTTATAAACAAAGCAATCACTAAAATATATTTAAAAAAAATTTATTATAAAATTATGAATACCAGCACAACGAAATATGTAAATATATTGCCATCCTTATGCCAGAATTTTGAGTTATTGGATTGAGTTTATTAACCTTTGGATGTTCTATGCTATAGCAAAACCCAGAATACCATACTTACATGGAAACCACATATCTTACATTGTCAATTACATGAATGTAGATTTACATAAGTCTCGTAACAAAAAAAAACTTTCAAACTTGTTTTACCAAAATTTACATATTTACACATTCATGTTTCTGGCATACGGTTGACGATATTTATGTACACATACTTAATCTTATTTACATAGAGTAAGAAAGTTTATTACAATTAAGCGATATCAACAGCAAAGCAACAATAACATTGCAAAAAAAACACAAAAGCTTAACTTCTCATTTCGCTTGGTCAACATCAATCGTACCCACGGTATGAACCATAAGCGCCACGCCCCACATATGGCCGATCATTGTAGCCGCCATCATAGCGTGGCAAGCCATAACGATCGGTATCGGCATAATAGCCATAGCCGCGATTGCGTTGACCAGCATAGAGTGGATTCCCATAACCATAGTATTGGTTTAAGCCGCCATTACCTCCATAACCACCATAGCCGCCATTTCCTCCTAGTATATTAGTGCCGGTGTTGGGGTAGTAACCGGTGCCGGTGTTGGGATAGTAACCGGTGCCAGTGCTGGGAGAGTAACCCGTGCCGGTACTACCATAATTATAGCCATAGCCGCCAGTGCTTGGATAATAGCCACCATTGGTTGCATAGTTCGGGTAATTGCTGCCACTCCATCCGCTGTTGACGGGGTAATAATTACCGGGATAGTTGTTACTTGGATATGTGCCGGTGGGATAGTAATTATTCTTGTATGGATAATAGGTGCTTGGTCTGTAGCTGCTGGGATAGTAGTTGTTACCGTTACCATATCCGTAGCCGGTACCATACCCATTGCTGCCGGGATTCTGTCCAAATAAACTGCCCAAGTTGAACACTAAGCGTGAAAGAGAAAATATAAACTCCATTTTAGAGATAATTAAAATTTATTGCAGTTTTTTGCAGTGCAAGTAATAAAAACATTTTTAATAACACATACATACATAGGTAACAAAAAACAAGTAAAATTCGTAAAAACATTTACATAGATGAATAGTGTTAAATTAGCCTTCGTTTATATACCTAACGGCGCAATTAAATTGCGGCAATACTCGTATATGGAACTTTGCGCTCAGAACGCCAACGTAATAAAAGTTGGCATGGCAGAAAAATTGAGTTTGTAGCTGTTGTAATTGAAAGCTTTTTCATAGTGGGTGAGCTGCGTACACTGAGGTTTTATTATGAAAATCGTTGAGTTAATTTTTTTTTTTTTATATTTAAGTTAAGTTTAGTTGCTATCTGCAAAATATTGTGTACTCTTTTTATGCAAAGATTTTTAATGAATTTTCATCAGTCTTCGAAATTAAATGTGTGAACTTTATTTTTTATACACTTCTGATAGAAGAATTCACGTATTGCCGAAATATTCATTCATTTAATTTTTGAACACAACAATAATTTCCACTAGCCATTGAAATGAGAAAAAAAAATTTGTAATTTTAAATGACCATCCATGCCATCTGCAAATGCACTTTTTGAGTATTTTTTTTTAAGCTAAACAACACGAATAATTTTAAATACCAAACTTTTTATTACAATTTTTGTCTAATAATTACGGTGGCCAGATTTCTGTGGATAAAAATCGGGACATTTCTAAAGCATCGAATCCAAACATACAATTTTGTTTTAGAATAAAAAGACACAACAAAATGTATGCACACAATATATACGGTGACGAGAATGTAAATAGGGAAAATACATTTTTAGCAAGTTTTGCTACTTTTCTTTGTCTAAAAAATATTGATTCGTTTTTTATGAAAATGTGGCTTACTATCTGGACATGTAAATCAAAATTTCAAATTCGACGAATTTTAACAAATATTACCCAAAATTTTAAACTTAGCTTGGACTTACCGTTGATTTTCGACAATTTTTTGTTCGCGCATTTTCTTCCATACAAAGTATGTTAGGAAATTCTTTGTATAGAGGAAATGAGCAACGCCTTCCACAAAAAAATATTACCAAAAATCAACGATAAGTCCTACTTAAAATTTGCACTTCAGTACTAAAATTGAATGGGCTACAAAACTGCATACTCAGAATGTTTCTAAATCTAAAAATCGAATTAAAAATCTCAAAATTTTGATGAAACTTTGTCGAATTTTTATACAAAGTTTGATTTACATGGTTTTTGTTAAATAACGAGCTTCACTTTCATAAATAATCGAAAGGGGAATAGTCAAAGAATGCTGAAATGTCTCATCCCTACTTACATATAATTTTTCCACTGTCTCTACGGCTTATATTTTTCATATCCATGCATTTTTTTTTTAGGGAATTAGTATTATTTTTTATAATTTCACTAGATTCAAGTTAGAATCGTTTCATTAAAATAAACTTATTATATAATTATGAAAAATCGTTTACAATAATGATGACTGCAATATAACGAGAGTACCACGTTTGTATGAAAAATTGTTTTTGGGCCAGAGAACAATTTTTAAATAATAAAAAAACCACTGAAAATCTGGACTTAATCAGTACAAATATGAAAAATCGGGACAAATCGCCTTTTAAAAAATATTCAGCGGGACAATTTTCTCAAAATCGAAACGAATGGTCACCGTACTAGATAATAATGCCCAGTGGAAATCCAGAAATACTAGACCCCGTGTCAAAATTATAAAAGCGCCACATTTTGACAAGTTTTAATAATATATGATACAGCCTGCAGGCCAAGACGAAGGCGCTGGACTGTTCCTTTTTGTTATTTAATTTTGGATATTTTTTATTAAAATATAGTTTATTCTTTAACAAAACCCATATAAACAAACGTTTCAAACTTTGTGCAATATTAAAAAAAAACAACAAACTTTCAAAAAATTTCGAGTTTTAAAAATTGGATTTCTTAGAAAGGTGTTCAGTAGCCAGTAGTGTGATCGATTATTCGGCTTTTTTCCACAACCGGTTTCGAAAAATTGTAATTTGAAAAAAAAACCGGTTCTCAATTTTGAAATTAAAAAAAAAAACGGATAAACCGATTTTATTTTACATAGTTTACACACAGTGAAAATGTTTATCTTGGTATGAAGTCATGACCAAAACTTACAATAAAACTATTAATATTACAGATAGCTTTTATTCGCAGAAGAGCAGAGCAAAATAAGTTCCAAGTTTTTTTTTTAAGATCAAAAGTAAAACTAAAATCAGTGAAAAGTGCACGTTTGGTCTTATTTTATCTTTGAATTATTGCATTTTCTCTGACTTTTTTCGGGCGTAGCCGAGTGCTTAGATGTGCCTACTGCCACTCGGAAAGTTCTTGTTTTAATTTCTGGTCCCAGTAACATCAAAAACAAAAAATGTGTTTTTAAATATCGGTTGCTCCTCGTCAGCCAATATCAAACCTCCGTGCGTAATTCTGCCTTCACTTAATTCTGCTTCTTCGGAGGTGGAATAAAAGTGTAGATGCTCCATTTGTGTCACAACATCAAGAAGCAGAACACGAATTGCAGGAGCAGCTCGACCAAACGTAGAAAACGTTAAGTGCGAAACACTGATTTATTGGAATCAAATATGACATACTGTTCCTCTCCACATAACCTAGGATATGATATTAAAACTATTTACGGGTCACCCTTAAACTGGAAAAAGCTTTGAAAAATTCGGAATACTTAAAACGTTCAAGACTTTTCAAGATTTGTATGAAATTAAAAAACCGGTTTGTTCAATAAAAAAAAACCCGGTTTGTTCAATAAAAAAAAAATCGGTTTATTCGATATTCGAAAAATCAAGATTTCAAAAAAATCACCTGTAGATATCAAAAAAAAACTATGGAAACCGGTTTGGAAAAACCTAGTCATTCGCCCTAGTATGCAATTATGCCTAATAAGGTGCAAATCTGAAGTAGCTAGTAGTGATGAGCGGTTCCGAGTATTTAAGAAGCGTTCTGTCGAGTCCCGTTCCAAGCAGAACCGGGAATTTGGACCGATTCCGATTCTCAAAATAGTGTTACCGGAAATAGGCCCTATCAAAAGTTTTTACAAAAATTAAATTTCTTTTCATATTTTTGTTATAAAAATATTTATTTTTGGTATAAAAGTAAAGAAAATAAATAAGTAAATACTTGTATTAAATTCATTCTTTAGTAGATATTTTATAAAAAAATACACGAATTTAAATTTCAGAAAACTTTTTCCCCTCTAAGGTTTCCTTTAAAACAAAGTAATGTTTCCCTTTAAAAACACGATTTTTTCGATATTTTCGCTGCTCCTTTGACGCATTCAAATCTCAGCGAATTGAAAACGTGGTCGACTTTCCATTCTGTAGGATTCGTTTTCGGCTCTTTTGGAAGGGTTATTTAGTTTTTATACCCGAGCGCACTTGTGCACAAGGCTATAATAACTTTGTTCACATAACGGTTGTTTGTAACAGGCTAAACGAATTGAGATAGATATAAACAAATGTATACATAAATGATCACAATAAAAAGAGAAATCGATTAAGCGGTGACTATCTGTCCGTCCGTCCGTCTGTGCACACGATAACTCGAGTAAAAATTGAGAAATCTTAACGAAACTTGGTACATGCACTTCTTTCTGGAGTAGGACGGAAGGTATTGAAAATGGGCAAAATCGGACAATAACCAAGCCTACCTCCCATATAACGGTAATTTTCAGAAATACGAAAACTGCGATATTTTAGTAACTACTAAAGAATATTCACTCAAAATTGATATTTACAACAATTTTCAGACGAAAAATAAGAATTGTGGCCACTTATGATCGCATATATGTATCTCGGTAACCGTTCCACCAATTTCTACCAAACTCGGTATGGTTATTGTGCTTGCCACATAAAAGCAAAACGCTGAGAATTATAGAAATCGGACTAAAATAACGGCCGCTTTTCATATAACGGTAAATATCAGAAATGCTTGAAATTTCAATACTTCGCAATTTTAGGACGCTAATTTACTCAAAATTGATACTAAAAACAATCCCTTGAAAAGAAGTAACATTGTTTGTTTATGTCTAACTGAACGTTCTATCGAAGATGTTTAAAATAGCGGTAAACCCATCCCGGCTTACCATTTAGCGGTAGCTTTCGGAAAGGTGAAAAACATATATTTAATACTTGGGCCGGGTATTTAATGTTCGGCTCCGCCCGAACTTAGACTTTCGTACTTGTTAATAACAACTTTTTATGGGGTAATCCATCTAGAGTCTATATTCTAGAGCATTTTTTTATTTCAAATCAGTAGTCGACAGGCCATAGCTCACTGAGCACATTTTTGTTTTACACGTATACGAAGAGCGGCAGCTGAGCAGTGTCTTTAAGGTTTCAATGTGTTTGTATGCAGACCACTGTTTTAAATAAAATCTTTAACCCATAACTGGATGTCTAACTCTTTAATATTACCCGAAAGAACAGTCCCTGACATTTACTTTTTTAAAATCATTTCAGTCAAATATTGGCCGCAGACAGAACAAACATAATCATCAATGGCGAGCGCTACCAATTTTTGTTGCCTGAAAGCCCATCTTGTCGGCAACATTTGGTTTCAGCAAGTTATAGTGTGATATCACACCTCTAGATTTTTTTCTTTGGGATTATGTGAAGTCCAAACTTGTCGTCTATATGATTCAAACTTGGAAGCCAACATTACTCGGTGGAGTGAGTAATTGAAAATTGGACCACTTACAGCGTAGTCGCCGGCAATATTTAAATGAAATTAGTTTTTAAAAGTAAATATCAGAAATTGTTTTTTCTGGTAATAATCAGTGATCGGACTTCTACACCATTGTGGTAGATCTGCCACTTTTTTAACATCTACCACACAAGGTCTGAAATCAACCACATATTCGCGTTGTTGCGTAGTTTTATTTTTGCTCGACATAATTTTCTTAATTTTAAGAGCAAAAATTGTCCA